GTTAGTTCCTTCTGGTTGATGTCTCCGACTGACTGATATCTCTCGATCATCCATTTTTCTACTTAGTAAACTATGTCACAAGTAGTAGGCCTGCTTATACGGAGTTTGCATGCTAGTAGGCTTGTTATACTTTTGCGCTCGCTGTAAATATATTAGGTTTTTGCGCTCGCAAATTTGCTGTTCGCCTTTTGACTAAAAAATTTCTGTGTTTGTGTTCTGCGCACAGGTTTTGTAGGAAAGGTTTTTCTTCTCAGGCCGTCAAATGTAGAAATAAAAAGAATGTCATTTTCCCGATCGATTCGAATGTTTATTGCATATAATAATTATATCTAAAAATAATTATTTGATTAAATGATATTTCGCTGAAATACTATTTCCATTTGTTTTCTTTTTTCAGAATTCTTCTTCGACAGGAATTTATTTTGGACCCACTTCAGTTTGAATTTCGATAAATCAAAATCGTTACAAAAATGAATAAAAATTGGAATAAAATTGAGTTGAACTGAAAATTTATGAAGAATATCTGTTGGTACATAATAAGTATACGGTTTAATTATGAAATATTTATTTCATTTTATTCTGAATACATGTATTTTCTTCAATTTTTTTGTGGATCATTTTTACGTTTTGCAGTTTAGCTATCGTGAATGTGACTGAAGAGGAATGGTGGTCTAATCGCTTAGCATGTCATTGTGATAATCATAACATCGTCAACTGTTTTTTTTGTTGGATTTGCACCATGGGGCACTGTTTCCTTTTAATGTAATTGTTCATAAAACTTATAATAAAACATGTTACAATCACCATTTCCGGTTTGGTTTCTTTGTGAATGTGGAAAAGGAAATGGCTTTTTGTCAATTGATTCGAATATTTATTTCATAGAATTGTATATTTCCTGACATGATTTTGCTAAGATATTGATTCAGTTTGTTTCCTTATATTATTTCCTATATTATTATCCTTATTATAGCTATTTTTCAGCATGAGTTTTTTTATTCGATTTGTATGGAAATGTGATTGATTTTTTGTTTATGACAACAGAATGTTGCCTGAGCTAAACTAAATCGGTAGTAATGTAAAAATAATTGTGAGTTGTACTGGAGATTTTATGAAGTTGATTTAACCTAGGGGCTTCACGCCAAATTTTATTTAGCAAAATCTATTTCTATTATTTAATTCATGTAAAATTCACGCTAGATTTCAAATATTTTGTATTATTTCCCGAATGCGTTGGTATTGTTCATATTCACCTTGAACAATATGTTCTGGAAGTGGGTTTTGGTGGATCTTCAGGATCGTTCAAAACTGCTCCCGATTCTGGAAGTGGGTTTTGGTGGATCTTCAGGATCGTTCAAAACTGCTCCCGATTCTGGGAGTGGGTTTTGGTGGATCTTCAGGATGAATCAGACTGGGTTTGACAATGCCCTGGTCCATCCTGAGGATCCACTTCCAGAACCAGGATCGGTTTTGAACAATCCTGAGGATCCATCAAAACCCACTTCCAGAATTTTTGAAGCGATAATGACGTCAACAGATTAGACGTGGTTCTGCTGACAGTCGGTTTATTGAACAAAATTTAGCAAAATTGAAATTATGCATACATATCTGTTTAATATGTTGAAACATAAACAAATTCATATTATCGTAAACCATCCAAATTGTAACATTTATTTATTTCAAATATGGAAATTGGCGTGAGGCCCCTAGGATTTAACGCTCCATTATGACCACGTACCAACACATCCCGTTTGACTTCCCGTTTCCACGCCATTCGTTACCCAATCGATTCTGTAAAGCTTGGTAGTCCTTTTTATTATAGAATCTAAGAGAAATCTTCTTCAGCGATGTGCATGTGTTCATGAACGTAATCACTTCATCGTTAGGGCATTCGCTTTTTCCCAGATCGACTTCAACTAATGCTGGTGATGCGATCTTCAACAATGCACTCGCTTCACGACGTCTGTAACCCGAATAGTTCAACTTGATAATTGTTTTGTGCTTGCTGATGAAATTAGCCAATGTATGGTCTATGGCAATTGAATTAAGTTCCAATTCTTCAAGTTTGTCGAATGTCAGTGGAAATTGTTCAAGCACCACATTTTGTAATACGAGATTTTTCACATTTGGAAAGTGCACGGTAGCGTTTCCATTGTTCGATAACCGTCTGGGATAGCATTGATCGATATCCAGGCTTTCCAGATGCTGTAGAAGTTCGCTAACACTCTGAAGGTGTTTGGTATCGAACCTGCCAGAAATGGACAAGCTTCGTAGATTTGGTATTAGGCGCAGGAGCTCAACAAAACATTCCATCTCGTTCAAATTCTCCTCAAAAACGTATGAAGAAAACAGTTCCAAATGTTGAAGATCGGGGAAATGAACAGCGATGTCGTTACAATTTGATAATCCGTTTTCCCATGATAATTGCAACCGTTGAACTCTGGGGAACCATTTATTGAGCTCCGACAGCTTGCTTCCACATTCGCAGTTGGAAAAACCAAGTGTTTCAACCTTAGTGAACGGTTTCTTCATATCGTCCAGTGTGCTTGCTTTGGAGAATATAAATTCGATTTCTACCAGTGAATCGGCACAGTATTCGTTGACATAAGGATTCAAATGTACGTCTTCATATCCGATTTGCAATTTTGTAAACAAGTGTCCAAAGCAGCGAAGCAACTTGAAGCGGAACGACCATGGAATTTCAGGTTCAGGATACCTGAACCTGAAATCAGAATCGATCCAATTAGGAAACCATATAAACATTTCCCAAGTGTATGTATAGAGGATTGATATCAATTCTTTCCCATAGCAGCTCGCGAATACCAAATCCGCCGCTGGTTTTAACTGCTTGTTGGATTCGGCAACATTTAAGAGATCTGTGAGGCTTAGATACTTGAAAATGTGTTCGAGACAATCAACATTGATGTCTGTCAGCTTTGTGGTGCAAACGATGGACTCCGGAATAAACTTTACTTGCTTCTCTTTTTCTTTCATACTATTTATTGGCTGTTGGATCGTTTTATTGGATAAACATTCCTGAAAATGGATTAAATACGAACGAGTTAGTCAATCCAAGTCCTAAATAAAATATGAACATTCCGAAAGATTCTCACATTTTTGTTCGCCGAATCTTTTCCTTTATCTGGATTCTTATCATCACACTTGATTTCCTCTTTCACATCATTCAAGAAAAAGTTAAGCAGCAAATCATATTGAAGCTCGCCAGTCAATTCCCAATTCGATGTCCCGTACACTGCATCTGCTTCAAGTCTTTCATTCGGACGTGTCACCAAACCAAATTCACTGCCATCGGACGGTTCTTCCTTGATGTCTGGCTCTTGTTTTATTTCGACTATAGCACTGCTCAGTTTACGTCCATTCGACGGTCCTTCGCCTGGATCCATAAGGGAGATGGTCTAGTTATGAGACGGGTTTTGTTTTAGATTTAAAAAAAATTCTGTGGTTTTCAAAAATAGAAAGTTAGAGTTCTATCATGTAGCTTATGTCCAGACGCAACTTTTTTCCGATGAAAGTTTATTGATTCCAGTTACTCGAAAAAAAATTTGACCAATCTTGTGAGGACTATTTTTTTGGCCCCAAAAAAATTTTGGTCCAGTTATGAGACACCCAGAAAAATTGAATACAAGTGGATAAATATGAAGGAAACTCATCATAAAATGTTCAAATATTATTCTTTATTTATTATAAAGGCCTTAAATGGCTAATATAAAGAAAATTGGGCCTTTAATGGCCTTACATGACAAGGAAATAACAATTTTCATTCATCATCATCATCGAAATCCTCATCTTCTTCTTGTTCCATGTCACTGTCGCAGTGTTTGCAAGTAAAGAAGCTTGCACGCATGTCAGCGCATTTCAAGTGAACTGGCCGCGTGCATACGTTGCATTGGATGGAATTTTCAGCAGTCAATTTGTTTGGTAACAGCGTCAAACAAATGATGCAGAAGTCCGTGTCTTCATCGGACGGTGGTGATTTTTCAGTTCTACGGCGCTTGGGCGGTGGTGTTGCTTTTGATGTTGCTCTCTTCGGTGCTGCTTTCTTAGGGGTTGGCTTCTTTGGCGTTGCTTTCTTTGCTGCCTTTTCCGCTTTCGCTGCTGCTTTTTGCGCTTTCGCAAGTGCCTTTTGCTTCAAAACGGACATGGTTTCCGGAGAAGTCAATTCAGCACTTTCCATCGGTTTTCGTCCACGATTCGACTTTGGTTTTGGAGTTTTGCCTTGTAGAGGGCCAACCGCATCCAAAACCGACGAAGTGTTGCTTGCAAGAGACATTAGTGACACCGAGCTGGATAGTTCAGAGGGCTGTCACTGTTGCAATATCATCAAAATTGTCTGCAACTTTCTTCACGTAGCGCTGTAAGGTGCTCTTATCTATTCCATGTTCTTGGGCAGTCCTTCGAATACCTTTCTTCTCCACTATACATAATTTAATGGCTTGCAACAGCGCATCAAAATTTTCGACCACCTTATTTCGACTAGGCGTAGCCTTTTTTGGAGGAGACATGGCTGAAAATCCGAGAATATTAGTTAAAATACAATTGTAATTGCATATAAATGCGTTTTGACAACAAAAATGACAAAATATGACGTTTCTATACGCTTTCAGTGCAAAATCTAGAGTGTCTCATAACTGGGCAACACGGTGTCTCATAACCGGATCGAGACGCCATTTTGAACATTACTCACAAAAAATTTTCCACAACACATAATCGAACAATCCGAACCAGAATCACAAAATATAATCAAAATACAACATTTTAATGCATTACACTCACCTTTTTAACTTGATTTTCACAAAAAATTGGCACTATGAAAAATATTCCAAATCCTTTTTTCACACGATTTTCAACACGATGTTTGGTGCGTATACAAGCAATGCGTCTATTCACTTCGGTGTTCGCCTAAAAACTGGCGGACATCAAATAAAGAACATTGACAGCTCTCATACCAACATTTCCATAGCGTACGACAGAAATAATTGACTGTCTCATAACTGGCGCTGTCTCATAACTAGACCATCTCCCTTACTCATAGCCAATGCAAATCTGTCGAAAAATCCAAAAAATATGAAAAAGAAATGAAATTTGTGACAGTTCAGAAGATTTTTGTTGATAAATTTCTATTGATGGATGCAGTTGCAAAGGGAAAAACTGTTGCGCATGACACCAATGTACGGAAAAATATTTTTCAAGAGAATTTCTGTAGTTTAATGAATATTGGAAAATTAGAAGAAAAATGAATCCTTTTATACGGCGTAGATCAAAACAAAAAATATTACACGAACGATGTCAATGACGTAGTCACTTTGCCCAAGGCATTACAATCTTGAAAAGCGGTTTTTTTTCTTCAAAAACACGATCAGTTGAAAATCTTTTAATACTTCGACCATTCCACACGAAATCGACTAAGAATTGGATCGACCCTCTCCGAATTGGCTGAAAATTAGCATGGAGTCTTGTTTTCGGTAGAAAATGAGAAAATCAAAATCTTAGCCCTATAAGTGGCCTACATTTTTGAGTTCACCCAGTGTAAATTTTTCGAAAAATTGAAAAAATCGAAAAAATGGGTTTGCGGCAACTGAACACTAACTGAGAAGTATTTGACACATTGCCAAACCTATGGTACCATTGGAAAGGGAATCGATGGGGCTACAAAAATCACGGAGTCATCTACCCACTCTGAATTTGAACATCGGTTTACCTATAAATTTGGTCTGAAATCGACATTTCTTCATAGAACAATCGAATGGTCGAAATTTGCTTACAAAATCACACTATGGCATAAAAAGATCACCTATGATGGCCTGTTATGAGTCTATTTCCACATAATTTTGGACGAGAAATCGATTTAGACTCATCTCAAGCCTGTTTGATGAGCCTAAAACGCCGAAAAATGGTCCTGTTCCAGCTTATGTTTTCAACTCGCAATATTTTATGCAAAAAATCAAATTTTTCACTTCGAAAATGCCTTCTTTGGGTTCTCACCGTAAACGGCATTTATGTTTTAGCGAAACGAACCAAAATATATCAATTTTTGTTCCATGTTTTGTTGATTTCGTGTGGAATTGGTCGAGTAGGACTTGACAAAAAATGGCTAAAAGGCTACAGTCACTAATAGTCAAATAGCTATTATTGAATCAAACTTAAGTCTCAATCTAGACACACTCCGCAAATCAAAAAAAAATCAATGTTTGGAATGGTACTTACATTTTCCGAGAGAACAATGTGGGAAACCAGAAAAACCCGATAACTTAGGAATTTTTTTTCCGTGCTTGAAACCGTTTCCCTGTTTTTTTTTTTAAATTGAACTATTTCAACTGATTTCAATGTTTGAGTCCACTCAATAGAGAGAATTTAAGCAGCACAAGTTTCACCTTCAACGATCTGTGCACCACTGTATTGAATGCAGATTTTTCTCGAATATTTATAATGGGAACCATTCGAATTACGAACAAAATGAGGAGGGAGAATACATATTGAAGAATACGATGAAAATCAAGGTATTTTTAAATGCGGACCTGCAAAAAACTATTCTCATCCTGCAGGTAGACTGTTTTCTACATCGAATATACCGAGTTTAGTTTAAAACATCTCTTTCCTGCTAGGATCAAAGGATTAAGTTGACACTTTGTACTAATTGCCTGCTTTTTCACCCAGAAATACCATTAGTTGGGTCCACATGTAACGAACAAACACGACCGAACCCGATTTAAAGAAGCGATTTGTAATAGGTTGAAATCAAACTCCGAGAAAAATTCTCGAAAAAAGCTTATCTATGTGGACCAAATTTGTCACATAAATCACCGTTCGATTGCGAAGCGTCTGTGCTCAACAGATCGAGCTAATTACTTGTAATTCTATGCTGCGACGGCTATGGTGAACCATGTCGATAGAGTGGTTTGATTTGTATGAAGTTGGCTATGAATGACTAAACCACTGACCGAATCTTACCAAATCGATTCGAAGATTCTCCATAACCGTAACATCGACGAGAATAATAATGATTTTTTCGATTTAATTGTTGGAAGACGAATTCATGTTTTTAAAATACCACAAAATTTTAATAGTGAAAATTAACTGATGAAAAATGAATTGGATAATCATCATCATGAAAGCAGCACAAACCTTTCGACTGGACCTTGAGATAATTTTTTCCTCCAATTTCTCTTGATTCTGCTATTCTTTATTGACTGATGGAAGAATATGATGAGAAATGAATGTGGAAATAAAAATGGGTTTTTCTCAACGGATTCGAACATTTATTTCATGGATTTGTATGTTTCTTGACATTTTTTTTTGCTTAGACAACAACTCAGTTTGTTTTCTTATAGCTATTTTTCGACATCAGTTTATTTTGAACGAATTTAAGATTGAGTCTCTTCACTAATGAGATCTACTGGAGATTTCATAGGGTCGATTTAACGTTCCATTGTGACAATCATAACACCGTTAAGGCGTTTCATGCTGGTTCTTCGCCATGGGCCACTCGATTGACTCAACACAACCCGGTGATCATTTTCGTTGTCGAACCCAAGTGTGAACTTCGTCAGCGCTGTGCATTTGTCCATGAAGGTGACCACTTCATCAATCTGGAAGCGACAATAAAACAAGTTGACTTCAATTAACGATGTTGATGCGATCTTCAATAAAGAGCCCTGTTCGCCAAGTTTCGATCCCCAGTAGGTGAGTTTGGACAGTGACATTTGCTTGCTGATGATTAGATCAACATAGTTGTAGTTGTTAGCAATTGGTGTGATTATGAGTTCAGTGAGTTGGTCAAAGGTCAACGGGAATCGTTCGGGTGCAATATTTTGCAATGTGAGCTCCTTCATATTCGGACAATGTATGGTGGTATTGCTGCTGTTCACGATATCTCTATACGAATGGACTTTCAGATGCTGTAGATGTTCACTAGCGTTCTGTAGGTATTTTGCATCGAAATAGCCAGAAATGGACAAGGTTCGTAGGTTCGGATTTAAGCGCAAAAGGCTGGCAAAATGCTTCTTTCTGTCCCGTGGAATGTACAGATTCAACTCTTGCAAATCGGGAAAATGAGCCGCCTTTTTACGATTTGACAGCTCATTTTCACATGAAAAATCCAAATACCGAACCTTCGGAAACCATTTACTGAGCTCAGACCATTTGCTTCCCAATTCGCAGCCAACAAAACGCACCGATTCAACTGCTGCGAATGGCTTCTTCAGATCTTGCAGTGTGCGTGCTTCGCAATGCTCGAATTTGATTTCCATCATTGACTTGGCACAGTATTTGTTGATATAACGATCGATGTGTGCGGCACGTTTTGAATCCTCTGGTGATGGATCACGTGACCGTACATAAGCAATCTTCAATTTTGACATCAAGTGTCCAAAGCAGCGTAACAACTTGAAGCGAAGCGACCAACGAATTTTTGTTGTACGCCTACCCTTCATATTGTAAAAGTATATCGATTTGCTTTCCAAATCGATTTCGATCGATCGTCTGCCGTATCGACTTTTGAATGCCAGATCTGCCCCTGGTTTCAGCTGCTTGTTCGATTCTGCGACGCTCAACAGATCTGTGAAACGCATACGCTTGAAAATATTCTCCAGACAATCCACATTGACGTCTGTCAGCTTCATTTCTTCTTTCATGCGACATCGCAATCTGGTGTTATAGACCTTCTTCGGCTGATCGATCTTTTTACCGGATGAACGTTCCTGAAAGTTGAATGAACATGAAATTGTTAGTTCCACAACGAACAATCTAAATCTTAAGGAGAAAAAAACTAGTATGTAGCACATAAATCACAGTCTTATGCATTGGCTTCAGTCGCATTGGTGAATGAATGCCAATTTGGAGGTTAGATTGAACCATTCACATTGAAACAAAGAACATATGAAAATCATTTTCTGGGTGTTTAAGCATATAGGAGATGGTCGATCCATTCTTGGTGGTTTTGGTGTGGACTATTCGACCTATATCTTTCCAATTTACTGTGAACTGCTGAGAATGTTTAGATTTATCTCCGGCGAAAGGGCCTATTCTAATTCCCACTGTTCATATTTGAAAACAAAGTTGGTATTTTCATCATGATTCTTACATTGGTTTTCACGGGCGTAGACACAGCCATGGATTTCTTGAAGCGTTTGCTAGCACGTTTGTTGTACACTTCTTGCTGTCGCTTGACGGCTTTCACATCCTTTTTACTCGCAGTTTTTTTACGAATACTCATCTTTTGGCGAGGTTTTTCAACAATCTGGAAGAGAGAAATTGATGCTTTGAAAAAATTTCCCATTTTAGTTTCGTTGTTTAGTTCTTATTGAACCAAAGTGGCAATCTTGAGTTTGCACAATTCACTTCAAAAATAAAATCAGCCTTTCCATAACTTTCAATTAAATCTCCCAAAAAATCGGAGCTAAATATGAAAAGAAATTTGCTAAAAGACTAAAGTGGAACATAGAATCACTCCATGAACTAAGATATGCAACATTTCAGAATGAGACTTACATTGTCCCAGAAAACAATGCAAAAACTTGATGGTTTTGGGAAAATTGATGGGTTTTTTGGTGTGAGAGTTTAGTTTCTTCCACTGAATACACTTTTTACACGAATAAAGAATCCAATTGCTTGGAAAATAAAAGATTTGAGAAAAGTTTCCGTGTTTGTTGCGATCACATGGTCTGCAAAGATGACATTTGACAGCACATTGTGAAATAGCAACTGAATTTGAGGATTTGGTGAAGATGCTGCTGCGAAATGTCAATTTGGTGTTGCCAATGCCACGTTGAACCATCGTTTAGTACTTTTCTAACTGTGTCGGGTTTTTAAAGAAAAATCTTTGATTTTCCAAATCAGACACGTATCAAATTGAAATTTTCATTCTGATTTCATAAAACCTTTTCTCTTCATACCATTTTCACCATGAATTAAGTAAAATTGACGATAGAATCTTTCGAGATCATAAAATTTGCAGTTAGTAAACTCTCCACATTTTTGTATCGATTCCTGAAATTTTTTTTCTTCAATCCATTCAATAGATGGTGCGTTTAAATTCAAAACATACAGCACTTTTATTTTATTGATTGATCATTTTATTCCAATGTTTGAAATTAAGTTTTTGTGGTTTGACATAGTAACTTTGATGGTTGATTCATTTTCAGAAAAATCGGTTGCACAAATTACGATTATAATGCAACTGAAGCTTGTTGCATTGAAGCTACTGATAATCAAAAACTAATCTATGAAAACTGAAACTAAGTATTAATGGTATGTTTGAAAGAAAAACGTGAGAAAATGGAAATTGATTTGCGGACAAAAGAAATAATAGGAATAAATGTGTTGCTTTCTCTCTTGAAGTCAAGAGAAACTTTGAATTGTTTGTTTGCGTGGCTCAACATTTCAACTTGACGCAGTTATTCAAGTTTCATGGTTGTATGTACTTTATGCTTAGAGTACATGACTTATTTCTTTTGTATCTTTTTGAATGTATTTTACATCAGTTTAATTCGGCCCCAATCAAAATGTGAATGTTGGCCGTTTGGCTATGGTGATTTGATGAAGTCGACTTATTCAACGTTCCATCGTAACCTCGTACATACAACAGTATCCCTTCTCGGTTCCACGCCATTCTTTACCCAATTGCTTCTGCACAGTCTGGTAATCGTTTTCGTTAGCGAATCCAAGTATAAGCTTCTTCATCGATGTGCATTCTTCCATAAATGGCACCACTTCATCGGTCGGGAAAGCACAATGTCCAAATTTGACTTCAACTAATGCTGGCGATGCGATCTTCAATAATGCACCCGCTTTGCCACGTTTGTAACCCGAATAGTTCAACTTGATAATTGTTTTGTGCTTTCTGATGAAATTAGCCAATGTATGGTCCATAGCAATTGATTCGGGTTCGAATACTTTAAGTTTGTCGAATGTCAGTGGAAGGTGTTCAAGCGCCACATTTCGTAGTAAGAGATGTTCCACATTTGGAAAATGAAAGGTATCTTTTCCAATGCCGTGTGGCAAATTTTGTAACTTGAGCTTCTTCACATTTGGAAAGTGCACGGGATCGTTTCCAATACTCGAGAAGTGTCCAAATGGACAGATTTCAAAGCATTCCAGGTGCAGTAGATGTTTGCTAACGCTTTGAAGGTATTCGGCATCAAAGTAGCCAGAGATGTACAAGCTTCGTAGGTTTGGATTTAGGCGCAAGAGCCCAGCAAAATATTTCTTGCTCAAACTGTTCTTTTCATCGAATGGAAGGTACAGACTCAAATGTTGAAGTTCGAGGAAACGAACAGCGATGTAGTTGCAGCCTGATAATAATTCGTTTGCACTCAAAAATCCCAAGCGTCGCACTTTTGGGAACCATTTATCGAGTTCCGACAGCTTGCTTCCCAATTCGCAGCCAATAATATAAAGTGTTTCGACTTTACTGAACGGCTTCTTAAGATCGTCCAGTGTGCTTGCGTTGCAGTTTTCAAATTCGATTTCCACCAGTGAATCGGCACAGTATTCGTTGACATAACGATCAATTTCCGCGGCACATTTTGAATCCTTTTGTGATGGCCCATGTGACCGTACATGAACAATCTTCAATTCTGTGATCAAGTGACCAAAGCAGCGTAACAACTTGAAACGGAACGACCATAGAATTTTAGCTGTTAGCAAATCTGTGTCCTCTCCACGTAAATCCACAGTCTTGCGTTCCACATCGATGTTCATCGAGCGTTTCCCATATTGGCTCGCGAATACCAAATCCGCCGCCGGTTTCAATTGTTTGTTGGAGTCGGCAACATTCAAAAGATCTATGAGGCTTAGATGCTTGAAAATGTGTTCGAGGCAATCCGCATTGACGTCTGTCAGCTTTGTGGTGCAAATGATGGGCTGTGGATTAAGCTTTGCCAACTTCTCTTCCATACGCCGTCGCAATCGTGTGTAATAGATCTTCATCGGCTGTTGGGCCGTTTGGTTCGATGAACGTTCCTGAAGATGGAATGAACATTGAATCGTTAGTCAATCCTAATTTTCAATTAAATATAAACATTTTGCACACAAATCCATTGATTGTGCATTGACTTTGGTCGCAATGTCAAATGAACACACATTTTGAGGTTACATTATGAAGTGCACAATGTGAGCTTTTTTTTGCATTGAAACATTCTATTCTTTACGCTTGAAAATATCTTGATGACGTACAGAATGTTCCAATTTTTTGGTCCCTCTCTAATTTACTGTTCAAAATTGTATACAAAGTCAGTATTTGCATCATGATTCTTACATTTGTTTTCACGTCAGCAGACACGGTTTCGGACAACTTGAAGCGTTTGTTCACCGGTGTGTTGGTTTCTTCTTGTTGTCGCTTTTGACTGACGGTCTTCTTACGATGATTCATCTTTCAGTGAGGGTCTTTCATCAATCTGAGAAGTAAAGTTGATGATTTCAACATTTTGGGAATGCACAATGGAAATGTCTGATAGGCTAAAATCGCAATTGAATGAAACTTGAGTTTCAATCGACCCACTTTGTGAACCAAGAAATCGAATGGTACTTACATTTTCAGAGGAAACAATGCGAAGAACACGGACAAATCGATGACTTTTTGTGCAGGTAAATACAATTTATACACAAACAAATGGAATTTCCCGAAAATTAAATGTGAAAATGAACGTTTTCAGAATTATTCTTGTGTTTGTTGCGATCAAATTGCGGAGCTATGATAACAATTGACAGCATTCACGTTGAATTGATGTGATTGCGAAATAGCGACTCAATGAAGACGATGCCGTTGCGAAATGTCAATTTGGTGTTGCCCGCCACGTCGAAACATCATCATCGTTCAATACTCTTCTTGCGAGTTGTATAAACAAAATGTATGATTTTTTAAATGGGTTTAATTTTAAATATTACAACTGTCGGAGTTTCTGCAGAATATAAATCATACCAAGGTATGATTTTGAGATTCTTTGGTTAAAGAATAAAGATGTAATTTTCATACTTTGCAGAGAAACTTTTTCGGATGATGAATTTTTAGACATTCTCAAAGTAGATTGGTTGTACAAAAGATGGTTCCACGAAACAGATCATCAAAGGGACAATTTGTGAGAATTTAAACGATTAGAAGAATACTATAGTAAATATGGAAAGCAATGGATGTGCGCCATTCGCTATCTAAACACTTAGGTAAAACCCTTCTAATTATTGGGATCGGTCAGACTGAAGCGACTCTTTTCAATAAACTACAATAGTCCACGAAGTGCTCCACTCCACCAACTGAAAAATCTCTATGTTGGTCTCTTTACCAATGGCAATGCTAACATCGATTTGTTCATTTGTAATGAATGAATGGTAACAGTAAATATACAAACTAAAAATATCAAAATAAAATTAAAACAAATGTGTTTTTTTGCCAATCGATTACATTTTTATTACACAAAATTGTATGTTTCTTATTTGTTTAAATGAGCTTTCAGTTTGTTGCCTCAAAGCTAATTTATTTGAGTATATGTATCTTGAGCAAACTTCAGTTTGAGTTTCCAATAAATTGTTCCAAAAATGAGCGGAAACCGACGTAATATGAATAGTGGCGTTGGACTTCTGGTGATTACCAATTCAGATTGGTATAAAATTTCATTTTTTTATTTTTCTCAAATTTTACTTGGTCTCTGGAACAGAAGAAGGTTCCATTTTGATGACATCAAGTGGATTAAAGATTTCGTGAGGATCAAATCGATTAGCGCTCCATTGTAACAGCAATTGCATCATAAATGCTTTTCATGTTGGTTCCACGCCATTCTTTACTCAATCGATTTTGCACCGCCTTGTAATCCTTTTCGTCATTGAATCCAAGTGAGAGCTTCTTCAGCGATGTGCACTTTTCCATGAATGTCACCACTTCGTCAAGCGGGAAAGCACAATATCCAAAATCAACTTCCACTAAAGCTGGCGATGCGATCTTCAAAAGTGCGCCTTCTTTGCCGTGTTCGTTACCCGAATAAATCAGCTTGGTAAGTGTTTTGTGCTCGCTGATGAAATTGGTCAATGTCTCGTCCATATCAATCAATACGGCTAACAAACATTCAAGTTTGTCGAATGTCAGTGGAAATCGTTCACACACCACATTTATCAATGAGAGCTTCTTCACACTTGGAAAGTGCACTGAATCGTTTCCGAAATCCGAAATGTGATCATCATCTAATGCACAGATTGTCAGAGTTTCCAGATGCTGGAGATGTTCGCTAACGCTTTGAAAGAATTTGGCATCGATGTAGCCATAAATGAACAAGCTTCGTACGTTCGGGTTTAGGCGCAAGAGCTCAGCAAAATGTTCCTCGTTCAGGCGGTTGTTGTCGATGAAAATTTCATCGAATGGAAGAAACAGACTCAATTGTAGAAGATTGGGGAAATGAACAGCAATGTCGTTGCAGCCCGATAGTTCATTTGCACGCAAAAAATTCAAGCGTCGCACTTTTGGGAACCATTTATCGAGTTCCGACAGCTTGCTTACCAATTCGCAACCGACAAAACCAAGTGTTTCAACTTGTGTGAACGGCTTCGTCAGATTATCCAGTGTGCTTGCTTTGCATCCTTCAAATCTGATTTCAACCAGAGAATCGGCACAGTATTCGTTGACATAACGATCAATGTGTGCGGCACGTTTCAGATCTTCTTGTGATGGCTTATGCACATAAGCAATCTCCAATTTTGTAATCAAGTGTCCAAAGCAGCGAAGCAACTTGAAGCGAAACGACCATAGAATTTCGGCTGTGTCCTCCTCAGAGAAACCCACAATCTTGCGTTCCATATCGATTTTTATCGATCGTTTTCGAAACTGGCTCTTGAACGCCAAATCCGCCGCCGGTTTCAACTGTTTGTTGGAGTTGGCAACATTCAAGAGATCTGTGAGGCTTAGACGCTTGAAAATGTGCTCGAGGCAATCCGCATTGACGTCTGTCAGCTTTGTGGTGAAAACGATGGGCTCGGGAACAAGCTTTGCCTGCTTTTCTTCCTCTTCCATGTGCCGTTGCAATCGTGTGTAATAGATCTTCATCGGCTGTTGGGCCGTTTTGTTGGATGAATGTTCCTAAAAATGGAATAAACATGCAATTTTTTGTCAATCCCAATTCCCAGCAAAATATAAAAATATATCCATTGATTGTGCATTAACTTTAGTCGCAATGTCAAATTGTGTGGTTAAGTTGTCAAATTCATAGTATGAGCTCTTTTTGCATTGAAACAAAGAACGCATGAAAATGATTTGATGGCGAACAGAACGTTTTGAATTCATCTGCCTCTTTCTACTATTCCAAAAAAATCGATTGATATTATAAACAAAGTCAGAATTGTCATTATGATTCTTACATTTGTGGTGGCTTTCGTGTCAGCAGACACGGCCTCGGACGACTTGAAGCGTTTGTTCGCCGGTGTGTTCGTTTCTTCTTGTGGTCGCTTTTGACTGACGGTCTTCTTACGACGATCCATCTTTCAGTGAGGGTCTTTCATCAATCTGAGAAGTAAAATTGATGATTTCAACATTTTGGAATTTCACAATGGAAATGTCTGATAGGCTAAAATCGCAATTGAATGAAACTTGAGTTTCAATCGACCCACTTTGTGAACCAAGAAATCGAATGGTACTTACATTTTCAGAGGAAACAATGCGAAGAACACGGACAAATCGATGGTTTTTAATGTTAGGCTATAATTTCTTATAGTAAATACACTTTTTACTCGAATTAATTCAATTACTTGAGAAATAAATGCGAAAATTAACGATTTCAGAATAGTTTTCGTGTTTGTTGCGATCAAATTGCGGAGCTATGATAACAATTGATGGCATTCACGTTGTGTCTTGAATTGATGCGGTTGTGAAATAGCGACTCATTGGAGACGACGCTGTTGCGAAATTTCAATTTGGTGTTACCCGCCTCGTCGAAACATTGCCAACGTTGAATACTCCGAATTCTAAACAGTATTCTATAAACTCCAGGAAAATTATTCTCTAATCCTTTCGAATGGGCTACGTTTCAAGTGAAAAAAGCTTAAACCAAATATCAATTCAATATTATTAGATGACATTTTAGTTGGAGATGTACTCTGTATGGTTATATGAGAATCGTTGACAGAAATTCTTAGAATAATCAATTGCACAAAAGACTGTGCCACTGAAACGGAATCCGTTTAACGGCTCATCTAAGATTAAATGATGAAAATTGAAATTAAACACAGAAATATGCTTGGAAGAAAGACGTTAACAAATTGAAATAGTTCTTACACGATTTTAAGTCCAAAATCATTTTATTTTTATCCATTACATTTTGAATGTTGAACAAATTGATTTGTAAACTTAATTTCTACATCATTTCTTATTAGATAATAATTTATGAAAATGTAAGTTTTCTTTTGTGGAAAATTTCAGTCCAAATGAGTTTCTTCGTACGACTTCCTTCTTATTATGCCACGATTTTTATGGCGAATGAAATGTTTCAATATATTTATTTCTCGGTTTTTCTATCGTCTGGTACGTCGAACGGTAGATATATACAAAGCAAAAATGGAAAATGTACAAAAATGTATCTCCTTGTCGTTCGATTACAATTTTCATCCCAACGAACTGTATACTTCTTAATATTTTTGTATAAATATTGTTTCGATCTGTAGCTTTGAAGCTATTTTGCGGCATGAGTATATCTTGAACAATCTTCAGTTCATGTTCTTATAAAATCGGTACAAAAATCTATAAAAAATCGGACATTTTTTGAGCCTAGCATACAATTTCGGATAAGTACCGAAATTAAATGTAATTGGTCTCAAATTTTAGTGAGTTGTTGGAAAAAATCAATTTTCACCGTTTGCTGTTTAGCTATGATAGTTATGTGTGAGGAGAAGAACAATTTATTTTGACCACATCAAGTGGATTGATGATTTCGTGAGGATCAAATCAATTAACGCTCCATCGTAACTTCGTACATACCGCCGAGCATCTTCCCGGTTCCACGCCATTCCTTACTCAATCGATTCTGCACCTCTTTGTAGTCCTTTTCGTCATCGAATCCAAGTGAGAGTTTCTTCAGTGCTGTGCATTTGTTCACGAATGTGACCACTTCATCAATCGGGAATCGGCAACCATTCATGTCGACTTCAACCAATGACGGCGATGCGATCTTCAATAATGCACCTGCAACACCAAATTTTGATCCACGGTAGATCAATTTGCGAAGTGATGCTTGATTGCTGATGATCAAATCAGCATAGCTGTGCTTCGTACCAATTGGAGTGATCACGAGCTCTTCAAGTTGATCGAATGTTAGCGGAAATTTTTCAGGTGCGACATTTTGCAATGTGAGTTTTTTCACACTTGGAAAATGCACAGGACGATTGCCACTGTATGATATGGGTCGACGGATTTCCAAGCTTTCCAGATGTTGCAGAAGTTCGCTAGCGCACTGAAGATATTTTGTTTCGATATTGCTATTAGTTGACAATGCTCGTAGGTTCGGGTTAGAGTGCAAAAGTTCAGCAAATCGTTCCTCATCATGATTTACACTTGAGAGACACAAACTTAAATCTTGCAAATGTGGAAACTGAACCGCAATGGTGTCATCTGATTGTGCGAACAAATTCAAGCGACGCATCTTCGGGAACCATGCATTGAGTTCCGACGTTTTGTTGTGGAATCGAACACCGGCCAAGCAAACGGATTCAACATTTGTAAATGGCTTTTTCAGATCTTCCATGATTCGGGCTTTGCAGTTTCGAAATTGGATTTCAACCAGTGACTCGGCACAGTATTCGTTTACATAACGATCAAATTCTGCAGCCAGCGTTGCATCGTATTTTCGTGATTCGTCATAAATAGACTTCAGTTTTGTGATCAAGTGTCCAAAGCAGCGAAGCAATTTGAAGCAAAACGACCATGGAATGGCCGGCGTAGATTTGTTCTGTTCAAACCATTGTACAGACTTGTAAGATAAATTGATTTTTATCAGTCGATTCCCGAATTGACTCTTGAACGCCAGATCCGCCGCTGGTTTTAACTGTTTGTTGGATTCGGCAACATTCAAGAGATCTGTGAGGCTTAGACGCTTGAAAATGTGCTCGAGGCAATCAAAATTGACGTCTGTCAGCTTTGTGGTGAAAATGATAGGCTGCGGATTAAGCTTTGCCAGCTTCTCTTCCTCTTCCATACGCCGTCGCAATCGTGTATAATAGATCTTCGTCGGTTGCTGGGTCGTTTTGTTGGATGGACATTCCTGAAAATGGAATCAACATTGATTCGTTAGTCAATCCAAATTCTCATGAACATTTGCACACAAATCCATTGATTGTACGAAGTACATTGACAGTCGCAATATCGAATGGACACAAATTGTGAGGTTATGAGCTTTTTTGCATTGAAACAAAGAACGCTTGAAAATAATTTGATGGTGTACAGAATATTTTATTTTGAGATCCTTTTCTACTTTCCTTCAAAAACCATTCAAAATTGTAAACAAAGATCATCGTGACTCTTACATTTGTGATGGCTTTCACATCGGCTACTACGGCTTCGGTCGACTTGAAGCGTTTGCTCGCCGGTGTGTTGGTTTCTTCTTTCTGTTGTCGCTTCCGACTGACGGCTTCTTCACGAGTATCCATTTTTCCGTGTAGGTCTTTCGGCCAATCTGAAAGCCAAAATTGTTGATGGTAAAAATGTTATTGATTGTTGTATGGCAATGTTATTATGGCCATACTATTGGAATTGCCAAAAATGGGAGTCTTGAATTTGCACAATTCACTTTGAAAAATACGTCCAACTTTTCGAATCAATTATCTGAATGTGAGAGTTGGACTTGACAGAAAATGGCTAAAGGGCTACAGTAACTAATAGTCAAATAGCTATTATTAAATCAAACTCGAGTCTCGATCGACACCCACTTCGTGAACCAAGAAATCCAATGTAAGAATGGTACTTACGTTTTCAGAGAAAATAGTGCGAAGAACACAGGAAATAGGAAATTTGATGGCTGTTGGTGCAGAACTCTAGTTTCTTATAGTAAATACACTTTTTACTCGGATTAATTCAATTACTTGAGAAATAAATGCGAAAATCAACAATTTCCGATTGAGTTTTGTGTTGCGATCAAATTGTGGAGCTATGATGACATTTGATGGCATTCACGTTGCGATTTGATTTGATGTGATAGCGAAATATCAACTCAATGGAGACGACACTGTTGTGAGAAATGTCAATTTGGTGTTACCCGGCACGTCGAAACATTGCCATCGTTCAATACTTTTCAAATTGTTTCGGATTTCACGGTTTTGTAAACAAATTCTATATTCAATTCATGCTATTATTTTTTCCTTCTTTTTTATAATTTTCGAGCAAAAAAAAAAAAACAGAGAAATTAGGAAAATTGACGATAGAATCTTTGAATGTTCCCATATTCTTTTTCTCCAAAATTCTGCACAGTTTTCTATCGACTCCTGTAAAATTGTTCTCCAATCCTTCCGAATGGTTGGCATTTCTAGTGAAGAAAATCGGAACAAACATCAATTTAATTTCATTAGATGTTATTTTTATTTAAACTTTGAGGTGGGATTTATGTGGTTTGATGAGAAACTTTGACGAATGGTGCATTTTCGAACATTTTCAAAATGTTAGCGCATAAAAATTGTCGTGGTTTTGGCCATACTTCCAAACACAAAATAATCGATTGCACAAAAGACTGTGCTACTGAAATGGATCATCATGATGTAGCATCTTTGCAAAGAGTAAATGATGAAAATTGAAACTTAACTTGGAAGAAAAATGTAAAAAAAATGAAGTAGTTCGACACGATTTTAAACCCAAAATCATTTTATTTGTATCCATTACATTTCGAATGTGGAACTAATTGATTTGTAAACTTAATTTCTACATCATTTCTTATTAGATAATAATTTATGAAAATGTGAGTTTTTTTTTGGAAAAGTTTAGTTCCAAATGAATTTCTTCGTAATACTTTTTCCTTATTATGCTACGATTTCTATGGCAAATGAAACGTTTCAATATATTTCTTTCTCGGATTCTTTATCCTCTGGGATGTCGGACGGTAGATGAAGGTGGGATGAACATGTTCGTAAATATACAAAGATAAAATAGAAAAATGTACAAAAATGTATCTTCTTGCCATTCGATTACAATTTTCATCCCAACGAACTGTATACTTCTTAATATTTTTGTATAAATATTGTTTCGATCTGTAGTTTTGAAGCTATTTTGCGGCATGAGTATATCTTGAACAATTTTCAGTTCATGTTCTGATAAATCGGTATGAAAATGTATAGAAAATCGGACGTTTTTTGAGCCTAGCGTACAATATCGGGTAAATACCTATTCAGATTGGTACAAAAGTACATGATTCAACTTCGTTTCAAATGTAATTGCTCTCAAATTTGAGTGAGTTGCTGGGAAAAAAAAAATCAATTTTACCATTTGCTGTTTGGCTATGATGATTCATATATGTGAAGAGAAGAACGAAAGAATTGAATTTTGGCCACATCGAGTGGACTGTGGATGTTGTGATGATCAACGCTCCATTGTAACATTCGGATCTCTATTCCGAAAGTGGTTTATGTTGGTTATGCGCCATTGGCCACCCAAATGATTCAGCACAGCATTGTAGTCCTTTTCGTCATCGAATCCAAATGTGAACTTCTTCAGCGCTGTGCATTTGTTCATGAATGTGACCACTTCATCAATCGGGAAACGGCAACCATCAATGTAGACTTCAATCAATGACTTCGATGCGATCTTCAATAATGCACCCTTATCGCCAAGTCTGTAACCGGAAAAATTCAGTTTGCGAAGTGATTTTTGCTTACGGATTAAATCAACATAGCTTCGCCAGATAGGAATCAATCTGATATCCAATTCTTCAAGTTTTCTGAATGTCAGTGGAAATTGAAGAGGATCCACATATTGTAATTTGAGTTTCTTCATATTTGGAAAGTGTGCGCGAGTTCTACCAATCCATGGTGAATTGTTGTATGTCGATTGCAAGATGTCAAGGCTTTCGAGATGTTTCAAATATTTGCAAACCACCTGAAGATAATCTGATTTGATACGGCCAGAAATCGATAAATTTTTCAGGTTCGGGTTCAAGCGAAAGAATTCAGCAAATTGTTCCTGACATTTCAAACGGTTCTTTTCATCGTATGGAATGTTCAGAATCAAATCTTGTAAATCGAGAAAATGAGCCGCAATTTCGTAACGATATTTTTTTTGTCCAGTCATTGCAGAAAATGCCAGACAACGCACACCGGGGAACCATTCATTGAGCTTCCATACTTGGTTGCGAAATCGTTGACCACCAAAGTCAAGTGATTCAATTGTTGTGACTGGCTTCGACAATTTTTCCATTGTTTGTGATGAGTTGTAGATAATGTTCAATTTTGTGAACAAATGGCCGAAGCAGCGTAGTAATTGCACGCAAAACAACCATGGCATTCGAACTGTTGAGCAATGTTCTGCTGATTCAAACAAACGTACAAACTTGAATTGTGAATCGATTTCCACCGATCGTGTCTTGAATCGGCTCATAAACACCAAATCTGCTGCTGGTTGCAGTTGTGTGTTTGATTGGGCAACGCTCAAGAGATCTCTAAGGCTTAGACGCTTGAAGATGTGCTCCAGACAATCCACGTTCAAGTCTGTCAACTTCGTGGTGTGAACGATGTGGTGCTGAATGTGTTCTTCTTTCTGCTCTTGCGTTTCTTGCACTTCTTTTATGCGCCGTCGCAGTCTTGTGTCGTAGATCTTCCCCGGCCGATTGGCGATTTTGCTGGACGAACTTGTCTGAAATCGAAATTTATTTCATTTATTGAATAAACATCAAGATGTGAGTTTTCTCAATCTAAAATTGAATCAAGAACCGCAAATTTTTTGCGCATTCCTTAATCGACTCCAGTCGCATCGTCGAATATTGATGTTAAACTGTGAAAGTCACGGTATGAACGCTCAGTGCATTGAAAAAGCAGCATATGAAAATCATTTGGTGACATACATAATCTCTCAATTCGACTATCCATTTTCAATTTAGTTTAAAAACTGTTAAAAATTGCAATCAAAGTCATTAAATCATGATTCTTACATTTGTCCTGGCTTTCACAGGCGAAGACACAGTTACCGTTGACTTCAAACGCTTGCTTGCCCGTGTGTTGTACTGTTCTTGCTGTCGCTTCCGACTGACGCCTTGTTTGCGATTATCCATCTTTCAGTGAGGTCTTTCACCAATCTGAAAATTAGAATTGAAGATTTTAGAAATGTTTTTTTTTGAATTTTATGTCATTGAACCAAAAAAGAAAGTCTTGAATTTGCACAATTCCCTTTGAATCAAGCTTTAGTCTCAATCGACTTACTTCGTGAAACACGAGTTGCAATGTTCAGAATAATACTTACATTTTCAGAGAAAACGATGTGAAAACCATGAGACAATCGATGGCTTTTTTTGCCAGATTTTAGTTACTTGTACGAAATACACTCTTGACTCGAGTAAATCCAATTGCTCGAGAAATAAATGCGAAAATGAACGATTTAAGGTTGAGTTTTGTGTTTGTCGCGATTAAATTGCGGAGCTATGATGAGAATTGATGGCAATCACGTGAATTGATGTGGTTGTGAAATAGCGACTCAATGAAGACGACGCTGTTGCGAAATGTCAATTTGGTATTGCCCGTCATGTCGAAATATTGGCATCGTTTAATACTTTTCAAATTATTTCGGGGTTTGTAAACATTTTTTTGTTCAAGCTATCATAGAATAAATCGTTTTTCTTTTCTTGCCGCAATATAAGTTGTTCAATTTTCATCCACGAATTTTCGAAATTTTGAACTTCCAGTCGTTAAATATCGCAATATTTTTTCTCTCCGAATTCTCCACATTTTTACATTGATTCTCCAATTCACCAATCCTTCCGAATGAACGGCATTTCAAGTGAAAAAAAAACGCATAATTTACTATAATTTTATTATTTTGAATGATTTTTTTATTTTAATGCTTATGATTCACTTTTTCATGGTTTCACAGTTTTGATTTTTTTCTGCAAGACTAAAATATTCAACCAGTGGCGGTGTCAATAAATAAAACGCAGGAATTTTTATATGAATGGGAATGATCCAGCCAATGGAAAAACATGGCACATGCCCAGTGCCCACTTTCAAATATGTAAAATGGTGTTGTACAATGGGATGTCCCTGTTCGAAAGATTTTTCGATTGCACAATCAATTTTTTATTTTTTTCATTCAAGAAATTTGAGTAATTTCCTCGAATTGACTCCTTCTTCTCCTTTTTTCTGTTTTTTTTTTGTTTCGAACGAGTTTTTTTCCTTTTCAAACCATGTGGAGTTTTCTAACTGATATAAAGAGTCACGATGACATTAAAATAGACTTCAAATACTTGAAATTCGAATTGAATCCGAAATATTTTCGTTGTGAAGCCACAGATATCTATTCTATTGAACAAATCTAAATTTTGAACAAAATATCGAAGCACAATTACATTTTCTATGCTTTTTGTAATTTTATTTATGTTCATATGAATAAATAGAAAAAAAAATTAAGATTTATTTAGCATAATTGTGTGTAAAAAATTCAATTTCTAATTCTCAGTTCATCAATCAATGATTTTGAAAATGATTTTCGTTTACCAAATGTACTTTTTCTTAATGCTAACCAAATTCAAATAAAAACTTGGGAGTAGTATAAAATCGCCGATTCGGGAACATAGGAAAATACATTATCGCCGATTCGGGAACATATACCTTTGTATGTAAAACGATGTTTCCGAATCGGCCTTGCCGATTCGAGAACATATACCGTTTTTGAATTGGCGTTAGTTCGTGGTCAGTTGTGTGAATCGATGCGTGTAGGTTTTATTGTGCGTTGCGCGTGAGCATGGAGAAGAGGGAGAAGAGGAAGAAAAGAAAGAAGAAAAAAGGTTCAAAAGATAGAATACACAGAGAGAATTGCCTTTCTCTCTCTCTCTATGTGTATTCTATCTTTTGAACCTTTTTCTTCTTTCTTTTCTTCCTCTTCTCCCTCTTCTCCACGTTCACGCGCAACGCACAATAAACGCGCAACGCACAAAACATACATATATAGAGAGAGAGAGAAAGGCAATTCTCTCTGTGTATTCTATCTATTGAACCTTTTTTCTTCTTTCTTTTCTTCCTCTTCTTCCTCTTCTCCCT